GACTTTGATTATATTTGGTGCATGTTTCTGAGCGGCACATGACCACAAAGAGAATGAGCAGGACTCAAACCAGCCAGTCCTCGATCGGCGGTCTTCGAAAGAAAAAAAAACAGAATTTTGAGCCGCAACTCGTGTTTTGGGTAGCTGGGCTCTCGTATCTCATATACAAATAAAAACCTTGGCGAGCATAGATATACCCTGTCAGCGTCCCTTTAACCCATTTGCTACCAGAGCCAGCGATTCACTGGGCTGCATAAATTTCTGCTTTAAAATGCCATTCATTAATGGTGCGCTATGTAGACTTGGATTAGTGTAGTTAGATACATTGCCAACAGATGGCGAGAGTCATTCTGTTCGCTGAGTTTGTTCGAGCTTGTTCTTTTGTGTGTCGTTTTTTCCCGCTCGAACACTGTCTGCTTGGAGAAGATGGCAGCGTCGAGTGTACCGCGTGGCCTTTCTGACAATGAAATCATAGATATCCTCTTTGATAGCAATGATGACGGGACGTCTGGTGAGGATAGTCAGTTTTCGAAGACTTCTGTCGACGATGGGAGCGATTTTTGCAGCGGTTTCGAGTCAGAATCACGACAAGATAGCCCTGGTTGTGCGACGCCTAACCGACCGAGAATAGAGTGCTTCAAGATTTTTCACATGAGGAAGCATCTGTGAGGGCCTAGTGATTTGTAGACTAGAACGAACCAATTAAGCATGTAAATGAACATGTTTTCTTGTTTTCTGCACTTAGTTTTACTGTAAAAGCTTATTATACAAGAAAAACAGTCACGCCCAGAGTGGAATTGTTTTAGGAGAAAAGCGTGCAGTGCGGGTGGCCTGGCAGCACGCGGTAGCCAATGGAGTAAAAACAGATTGCGTCTGAGTCGGTTGCAGATATGTGAACCAGCCTTCACGCTGTATAAACACAAACATCCAATTTGGTTTTGGTTTAGATCTGAAAGAACCAAAACGGCAATTGCCATGGCAACAGAGACCAATCAGCTAATTGCCTCGCTAGGTTTTGGTTGTTTGTTTGTGCCCGGCTTACTGGCAGGGAAGGCAATGGGCTGCTCACCGTGGCTCCAATGACTAGCGAAACCCAAACTGGACATTTGGAGACCCGCACGAGATGATTATCATCTTCCGTGCTGTTGTTCTGGTGGTATGCGAGCCTTTTTGTTGCGAGCACCGGGAAACGTTTCAGATACGCGGCTGCGCAGTCGTGAATCGCAAGAACAGACGGGCAAGGGGCACTGGCACCCGCCTCGTTTGCTTCCCAACCCAAAAGTGACACTCGCAGAAGAGAAAGCTTAGGACCGCTGCCATTCGCCACGCGAACGACGTCATTCTTCTACACAAGTGGGTCTCTACACCCATGACATCAAGGCCGTTTCTAGTGGGGAACAAAGCGGCCGCTTACCGAAAAGGACCGTGCGCCTCTTGGGACCGCTCGTTTCCGAGAGTGCAGTGGCGTTTCTTGAACAATGTCGACGGCTTTCCGTCTTGTAGTAATGTCTTATGCAGATTTCTCGTAACTTCACGCGACCTTCTGCCGTAGCATACCGAGCTCGGTGTGCCTCCCACGCCCTTGCCAAACATCGCTCCCTCTTCTCCGGTGCATTCAGGCAAGTCGCGCACGGTCGTACTCAGCATGTCATTTCTTCAGCTTCATCTATTTATTCTCTTACGTCTGTCAGCCGGTTGGCTGCCCGCTGGCGACTCGAGCAATCGAGTTCCTGCGGTGGTACAGTTTAAGCAGTTCGAGCCCGGCTCGACGCAAGCAGCTGAATTATTGGTGGTATGGCGGTACCTGGCACCCTTTATGATGGGTCCTATTTAGCCCAAAAACAAACAGGCACTTTTAACATAGTGTTGCTAACTCTAGAATGAAGTACCCGCTGGAAGCAGGTCTGAAAACAGCTAGATAACCCAGTTTTGTGCAAAAAATCAATAGAAGCATACTGCAAAGCAAAATATTCCAGTAGGAGTTTTTTTTTTTTACTTATTCTGACATTTAGGCATGATGAGTACTCTTTATGTGCTCCCCCGAAGGGAGAATAGAGGAACTTTAGCATTAAAGGAGCTGTGCAACGATTTTAACGATGAAAGAATTGGAATTTTCTGCTTTTGATATTGTTCACTGTGTCACAAATGGCAAAAAACACACCTCCTTTCATCGAAATGTTGCGATTCCGCCGCGTAATAGCGAGGCAAAACTTAGAATATTTCCCGACCTGCAGCCACGAGCGGCGGCCATGAGAAACAAGTGGCGTGACGTCACTTGGGTAGTTGTAAAAAGATAGCAAGTTGTGCGAATACCTGCTCGATAAAAGGTAACTCTTCTATAAATCTTGTCGTTCCAACATATATACAAATGCGTCAAAACCCTGGTATCATCGACAAAACTTTTATTATACAGAGTTTTAGTGGCGCCACCTATCCTAGGTCCACAAAACCGCGAATAGCCACCAGAAGCAGGAGGGGGAGGGGGACAGCGCTGGACGGGCAAGGACGGGTATGGCCGGACCTGGATGAGACTTTCCTCCTTTCACCGTATATTTCGCGGGGCGCCCGCCAGCACGTGGTCACGCGGTCGCGAGCGGATGAGTTGTTGCTGCTCGCTGATGGCTCTAAAGAGAGAACTTTTCCGGAACCCCGCGCCTACTCAAGTGACGTCACTGCGTACATGACCCGGAAGACGATGTACGAGTTGAGAGGCAGCAAAAACCTGGATCTTTTTCATTTTTTTTAAATAAAAACTAGGGTATCCAGGCAAAATCTGTTTTCTGTAGTTCACTGCAGAAGTGTCAGGCATCAACTTCCACAATTATTTAAGCAAAGCCCTGAAATTGTTGCACAGCTCCTTTAAGCATATAGAAGAATTCTAGCATTAAAGGGGCCCTGCAATCATATTTTAAGTGTCTACCTTCTTTGCGGTTTCCACGTATCTTGGGGTTCGGGCAAGCCAGCGGGCATGGAGAGCAGGGGCGGATTTAGAGGGGGAGTCCGGATGTCCTGACCCCCCTCTTGATTTTTACATGTGTAAAATTTAGGGCGTGAAATGAGGGAGAGGGGGTTCCTAAACATATGGTACGCTGACCAACACCTGACCCCCCCCTCAGGAAATTCCTGCATCCGCCCCTGACGGAGAGACTAACTAAAATATCAGTGAGTCATATTTTAACCGGACGATGCGGAATCCTTCTCCACCTACGAGGGCGACCCGCGTTGCCGAAAGCGTGCAATATGTGACGTCTTTGGTCCTGGGCTTACCACTGGTCAGAGCCACTAAAAGCTTTTTTTTTGGTCGAGATACAAAATATAAGTGTCGCAAACCGTTTCAGTTATGTATGAAAGTAGTTTTTGTTCAGTATTTTAGATCAGAAAAGAAACAAATGCAGTTTATAAGTTTATAAATAGGGTGTGTACTTTCCGGTGTTTATTTGTGAGAAAAATCGGCGGATGTTTTTCGGTGTTTATTTATTTTCAAAACACCGGTGTATTTCGGTGGAACGTCTCACGACGAGGCTAAAAACGGTAATTATCGGTGAAAAAAAAGCGGTTGATCACAGACAGAGAGTTCCAATTTTATTCACATAGTTCATACACTTCTTCTTTACGAAGCAACTATTTCTCACACTTGGTTATTATAGTAGATGCAAGCATACTTTTATGCTTGCATCTACACGCAAGGACCGTGCTGCCGTCATGACAGCACGTTCCTTGCGGTTCGCAACCCGCAATTATGAAAACGCACGCTCCTGTACGACACGGACGTTGGCAGTGTCTTCCAGGAACCACAGCAACCTCTGAATACATGGCTTGCACCAACATCACTTGGCCAGACACAATGAGGAAAGGGCACGTGAGAGCCTACCCTCCACTGTGTTAATTTCTCCACAAAAGGGGGCCATGGGAGACACAATAGGGGAGAGGCGTATGAGAGCTTAGCTTCCACTGCGTTCACTAGACGCTTTTGACCCCCAGAAAGGAGGGCGGACTGGCGCCACCTACAAGCCATGGATGTATAAACACTGGAAGAATGCAGGATCCACGAGATAACACGTTTGACGAACTTCAACGAGGAAAGGGTTTCGCTAGGTCGGAAACTAACAACGACCGGTGTTTTCCGGTTTTAACCAGGGCGAAATTATCCAACCACCGGTGTTTTTCGGTTTTAACCGATTTTATATTTTCGTCACCGACGGATCTTTATCGGTGTTTTTCGGTTAAAACCGGAGAATGCACACCCTATTTATAAAGTACGGAAACAAGAAAAGACCCGTCGACAAACCCGCCACCAAGCGGCAGAAAAAACGGCGCATACTAGAAAGGGCTAGTGGGATGAGGTTCCGACGAACGGCAAGCGTAGAAAGGTCCCAGGTGTACGCGGCTGCGCTGCAGTCGTATGCCGGCTCGAGGATCCGACCGGTTCCGAAGGTTTTCGGCGCGGGCTTGGCTGGCGATTTGGCCATTTGGCAGTATGGCAGCGCGAAGTGGCTCCCGTTCTGAACTGATCTTTACCCCGTGTTTGCTGTCGTTTGTAGCCAATGAATTGTTATGCCGAATTAGTCTTTAATCGCGCAGCAAATGCAATTCGAGCCGCCCTGGCCGCCCACTTCATACAGCCTATCCAACACGTGCTTTAGTGGCGCCCTCTCGAGCCGTCAACACTGAGCGCGGCAGCCGTGAGCGCTCGATAAGCTCACTACTCCTCCTCTAGTTCACGGCCACTCAAGCCTGGACCTACAACGTCATGAAGGAGGTTATTTTTTGCTTGTTTTTGTAATTATAGTTTGCTTATAACTTTCAAAATAAAGCGAAATTTGAGAAAAGAAAAGTTTTTTTAAGTTACTACGTTCAGTGCGCTCAGCTAAGCTGTAGAATGGACAGCTACGCATTGTGCCACAGCATAATAAAGTAGAACCTGGAACAAGTACATCTACAGGCGAAGAAGGTTGATCACTATTGGCGATGCTCTGTAAAAGCTCGGCTTGTCAGCTCACCCATAGATATTGCAGCAAGCTTTGAGGCAGAAGCAGCCGAATGTTCCAGTGCTTTGGAACCTGCACGACAAAAAAGATGCATTTGAAAAGATCGCAAATGCCGTAAGCACAATATTTAGGCAACCATTACACCTTTGTGACACAGTGCGAGACCGATGAGTACACGAGGCAGCTAGTAGTAGCAAGAAGACTGTCTAGAGCGCTGGAAGGCCACGGAACGCCTCCAAAACCACCAAAAATGTTGTGGATATTCCATACTGTGGCTTACTGTTGAGGGTGTGATGGCAGCTAGGTGAAGCACCAAATGTAATCATCATCATCATCATATCAGTCGTGCCAGAGCATCATGGGCATTATATATAATGCGTGCTTCCCAAGAATAAACATGTTTGCACTGAGAACGATGCGAAGTGTGTTTCCTGCATCCCAGTTAAACGGACGTTACAGGGGGTATCTCCAGTCAGCACGCAAGTGCTGGGAAAGTGTGAAATGAATGCCAAATAATTATTCCACTGTGTGACAAATGAACAGTGATTAACGCTATTGTGCGAGCAAACGTCCAACGCTGCACAAAAGCTATGCAAAAAACTGCTTGTCGCCTCACCTGCTGGTGCTGAGGTCGAGTCCTTACGGGTACTTGGCTGCTCTCCTGAAAGGGAGACAATATACTAATAGTCAGATCAAAAGCATGTCTGGTTGTGCTAGTGTTTGGAGGCATCCTGCAAAGTGGTGAATTAGGCTGCGATCTCACCTGATCTTGGCGTAGACAGCTCAGTGGGCATGCCAACAATGAATTCTGACGGTGATGAAACTGCAGAAAGAATAATCGAAGCTGTAACTAACTAGCCTGTATAAGGCAATCAAAAAAAGAAGAAAAAAGGAAAGAACATTGCGTAATTAAAACTCACAAGAAAAAATGGTGGGCACAGCATCTGCTTTTAGTCTCTTTTTCCCCTTCACGGAGTACTCTTCAAACTGGTCCTGCGTAAAATGATCCTGCATGCGGCAGACGGCAAAGCTCATCAAAACAACCGGGGTAAACAACCCGAGCAACATATTTGAGCCGGACGCTATTTTCTTGCTTGACTTACATCAGCTCGCCTGTGCCTTAACTCATCTTTTAGTAAACAACGCGTGCTTATCAGCGACACACATATTGAGGTACGACGCAGGCATCTAGTACACTGCATATTAAAACACAAATTCGCGCAACGAAGCAACGGCGAAGGAATTTTATTTTGCGAGTACGAACAGCGCAAGCATAGTTTTGTTTATCCTTCTTCCAAAGCTGGAGGCTCACAAAAACAGGTGTTCTCGCAAACACCAACTCGCCGCTCTAAAGCAATGAAGTCAAAATTACCTCGCATAGTTTTGCTCCTCTCGTCGTCGGCCTTTCGCGGCGCATGCGCAACAGCCATTGAAGTCGGCGGCGGACGACGGCGACCGATCGTCCAAATGGTACCGAGAAGAACGATTTCCCGTTTTCCGTGCGGTTCTTGCAGTTCGGTGCAGAACACCCAGTCATAGCCGTAATTCATCGGCACCGCGCAGCCTGGAGAAATCACGACAACACAGCCTCCAACGCTGGAAATGCGCACTTCAAAGGACCGCCACAGCACCGTCAACACAAGGAACAACTGTGGGCAACACTGACAACATTTTCTAGGTTAGGCTAGGTGGCGTAAGCTACCGCCCACTGTGCTACCGCCCGTTACAAAGGGTATAGTAGACCTGTGCGCCGCCGCGCCGCGCCGCCAGCGCCGCCGCCGCCGCCTGTTTTGCCCTCGCCTAGCTGTCTTTGGAGATTTATGTTTGTCCTTTTTCCCTCTTGTTCCCGTTGTTCCCCTTCTCCTGGGATTATTTTCGTAATTCTTGTCCAGCTCGCTTGCACCTTCGCATTTTAATTGCATTATAATTATAACCTTAAATCACAAGCTTCACCCTTGTTGGTGTTAGACAGTGTTGTACACGTTCCTCAAAAAAAGGAACGAAAGGTCGTTCCTCGTTCCTTCTGATTTTTGGAACGCGTTCCCATTACAAGTTACATCTTTGAAAAAGGAACTCGTTCCCGTTACAGTTTAAAACAATGGAACGTATCGTTACATATGCGTTACATTTGTATTTTGCTAACTACTATATTTAGTTTAATCAAGCAGAGTTTTTTTTTATCCCATTAGTAGTCAACATACGAGTTTGTATGGCGTTATGGAAGGGAACAGGAGAGGAAAACAAGCGGAAGCAGGGTTTCATTTGTTGATATATTCAAGTTGAAAATCTCACCTTTCAACCATATTCATCTTAGTAAAACATATAAAATAGCGCAACAGAAAGACAAGGACAAGAAGTATAGGGTGTTTTCACTGACGTAATTTCGTCCACCATTTTGTTGTTGTGAGCTGCCTGGCGTGTGCCAAACTCGAGCATTCCAAGGATTTACATGCCCCTCAAATGCGTAGAGCACCTCTGACATCATCTCAACCGGTTTCGATGTAATCTCATAGTACTAAATTTGTTTGAAAAAACAAACCAACAACAAAATGGCGAATTGACGTCATGTGCAAACAACCTATACAGGACAGCTAGGCGCTATAATTGTCCTGTATGCTTCTTGTCCTTGTCTTTCTGTTGCGCTATTTTATATGTTTTACTAAGATGAACCAACTAGCCCAACAACGTACCTTACTAAACCATATTCATGTTTGTAGTGGACAATTCAGACGAGCCGAATGTACTTTTACCCAACATTGTACGAGCGTTTTACAGCAAAATCACACGTTTCAATTGAGCAAAGTCCCTTGTTCGAACTTAACAACAGTCTCTTCTCGATGTTGCTGTCCGCAAGACGAGCATGTCGAGGAAAGGGTAGGGCCTTTGGAAGGTCAGTCTTAAAGGGATACTACAACGAAATTTCAGCGCTCATTTCTTGGTCTATATGTGTTCAAAAAAGCACCATCAAATCGAACATACCAATATCTTGTTAAAAAAGTCGCAAAAAGGAATTTTAAAACGAATGAAACGATTAGCAAAGAGCACCTGGTGGATGTCGCTAACGCCTCGGTTGTAATGCCCGTCTAGCAACCTTGGCAGCTAGTGACGGAGGTTGTCTCGCCTCCGGCCAGGACGAGAGAAGAGGGGCAGGAGGAACTCCCCTCTTCCCGAGAATGCCTTTTGTGTGTCACTGAAGTCGCTATTGTCCCCCTACAAGATTAGAGGAGATTAACCCGTCACTCAAAATTTGTACAAAAGCAGCCGCTTCGGTGGCTGGAACGACTAGGCCACCCTCTCGACGTCAGCCTCGCCGTAGCTTTGCTCGTCCAGAGACGACCTACGTCACGATTGCGTTGGATGTCACATGGTCTCCGCTTCGTTGTTCATTTTGAAGGTGTGTGTGTGGGGGGGGGGGGGGGGGACAAAAGAAGAAATAATGTTTTTTTTTTTTTTTTGTGTCTGTATCTTTCAAGTGAACAATGTTTGGGATACAACGGTGCGTTCGATATTTGGCAGCCTGTGGTCTTGTTGTAACTGTAGGTCTCGTAATGGAAGTTCACAAGTGGCTGTAGTCGGCCTTAGATTTCTGGGAGGATTTGTGGAAGCAAAGAAAGTAGCTGAGCTTGAAACAACCCTCTTTCTTTGTCTTTTCCTACGACTAAAAGCCTTGCTTTTTGTACGCAATTTCGGGCACTCAAAAACGAATCAATGTCCACCAGCTCTCCTGCACCCGAAACTGTTAGCAGGCGAGGACCCCACAAAATAATTTACAAGGATTAGTAGCCAAAAAGGTAACGAGATCCTGCACTTGGTAAAGTAATTGTTTCTGTACTGTCAAAATTTCCGTTATAAATAAAATAAAAATTCCCCCACTGGACGAAAAAAAGGAATGCCGTTACTCTTTCCGTTCCAGTAAAAATGTAACGCGTTCTCGTTCCAGTTCCAGCGATGCAAAATGGAACGGCGGCGTTCCTTCGTTCCTCCTAAAAGGAACGCATTCCAGGAACGTCGTTCCTTGGAACGCCGTTCCGTACAACACTGGTGTTAGACTGGTGGCAGCTGATAAAACCCGTTTGCTCTACACGTCTAACCCCTGGTTAGCTCAGTTGGTAGAGCGCTCCACCTGTAATGGAGAGGTCCCAGGTTCGATACCCGGACCAGGTGGATTTTTTCGGTCGCTCACCAGTCACCTAGCTGTGTTTGGAGATTTATGTTTGTCCTTTGTCCCTCTTGTTCCCCTTCTCCAGGGATTATTTTCTTAATTCTTGTCTAGTTCGCTTGCACCTTCGCATTTTAATTGCATTATAATTATAACCTTAAATCACAAGCTTCACCCTTGTTGGTGTTAGACTGGTGGCAGCTGATAAAACCCGTTTGCTCTACTGACGTCTAACCCCTGGTTAGCTCAGTTGGTAGAGCGCTCCACCTGTAATGGAGAGGTCCCAGGTTCGATACCCGGGCCAGGTGGATTTTTTCGGTCGCTCACCAGTCACCTAGCTGTGTTTGGAGATTTATGTTTCTCCTTTGTCCCTCTTGTCCCCTTCTCCAGGGATTATTTTCGTCATTCTTGTCCAGCTTGTTTGCACCTTCGCATTTTAATTGCATTATAATTATAACCTTAAATCGCAAGCTTCACCCTTGTTGGTGTTAGACTGGTGGCAGCTGATAAAACCCGTTTGCTCTACTGACGTCTAACCCCTGGTTAGATAAGTTGGTAGAGCACTCCACCTGTAATGGAGAGGTCCCAGGTTCGATACCCGGACCAGGCGGATTTTTTCGGTCGCTCACCAGTCACCTAGCTAGCTGTGTTTGGACATTTATGTTTGTCCTTTTTCCCTCTTGTTCCCCTTCTCCAGGGATTATTTTCGTCATTCTTGTCCAGCTCGTTTGCACCTTCGCATTTTAATTGCATTATAATTATAACCTTAAATCGCAAGCTTCACCCTTGTTGGAGTTAGACTGGTGGCAGCTGATGAAACCCGTTTGCTCTACTGACGTCTAACCCCTGGTTAGCCCAATGGACCTTTTTCCAGTAAGCGTCTGCGCACGCGCACACCCTTTTCCCTTGACCTTGACCGCCCTTTCGCCATTCTTGGGGGGCACTGTTTTCTTGCGACACTAATCTGTTCCTATGGGAGAAGGCGAGTCCGGTTGCCCTCCATTTGTAGTAGGCGGCGAAACCGCCATGAGGCACTCCTTACTGGAAAAAGGTCTATTGGTAGAGCGCTCCACCTGTAATGGAGAGGTCCCAGGTTCGATACCCGGACCAGGCGGATTTTTTCGGTCGCTCACCAGTAACCTAGCTAGCTGTGTTTGGAGATTTATGTTTGTCCTTTGTCCCTCTTGTTCCCCTTCTCCAGGGATTATTTTCGTCATTCTTGTCCAGCTCGCTTGCACCTTCGCATTTTAATTGCATTATAATCGTCGCCCCTGTGAGGCAGACCAAGTTCTAGGCTGTATAAACACACACAAAACCCTTTTTTTTTTTTTTTTTTTGCATTATAATTATGGCTACCAGTTTCTTCGCCCTCTGAGGGGCGGCCACGCGAGCGGTACAAAAGGTACAAAATGCGCACCTAGGGACTTTTATACCTCGTGATCAGCTTCGTAGGGAAAACCAGGGGGAACCGGGGAACCCGCGAAAAACAAGTGAGCAAAGATGGCGACGGCGGCGGTCGGGTGTGGAAGAGTTAGTCAGAAGCACCAAAGATGCCGCAGGATTGTGCATTCGGGAACTGCAAGAACGTCGCGAAAAGCGGCAGCGGATGCCGTTTTTTTTGCTTCCCATCCGAACGGCTCCAACGCAAGAGGAGGAAGCTCTGGATCGCTGCCGTCGCTGCTGTGAATCGAACAAATGAAGACGGTACACCATGGCTGCCGCACTCGAACTCTCGAGTCTGTAGTGCGCACTTCATGACAGGTAAGTTGGAACGTTTATTCGAGAGGAAGCATCTCTCATGGGCAGGGCGTGTAAGGGCTCGATAAATGCAGCGGCTGTTGCGATGACAGCAGGCTGGACGCTCCGCGTCGTGCCCTTCTCGTCGCGGCGCTTAACCTACGGGTCTACCGGGTGCAGCTGCTTCACCGATGGGTGCGTGCAGATCATCGTGCATTCTACGGTACGCGGCCTCAGCAATGCACGCGCCAGACCCATGTGTTCGCGACGAGTACGGCGCACGACGCCGCGCGGCCCGTCAGCTCGCGCCGACCGCCGCATCAAACTGTGATTCAGTGAACCGCCATGAGCATTGTTCGAGCGCGACATATAATTCGTGGTTAAACGAAATGGATCGTGACTATGCCGTCGCGAAATCTTGTTGCGTGCAGTCACGCCAGATTAATGAACGGGTGTTTCGGTAACGTGGCCAATGCAGTGATGTTTTTTCTACGTTGACAATATAAATTGGGATGTGCTGCATCAACTTGGCAAATGGCAACAGCATACCAAATGCAGACGTGGTCACCATCCAGGTAAGCCATCTCGCTACGCCACCCATCCAGACTTTGTGCCGAGAATCCTGAATATCCCCGTCGCTGGTGCCCGAGATCATGGTACGTGAAATGTTTTTCTTGATATTGACAGGTTGCACTGACGTAATTCGGTCCTCCTCTCTGTTTGCAAAACTGCCTCGGCCGTAGCCTTTACTGTACTATTTCTACAAACAACAAACGAGCGCTGCGAGCAAGCGGAAAGAAGTGTGCACAGCTTCCACTGCATTGACGGCAGGGTTCTGCAACCAGCAAGGAATACGGATATGATGTCAGGTATAAGCCATTTACACTTGGCAACAACATTTTTTGGAATATTAGAAGAGGGCACAGGACATCCTTGGTTAGCATCGTAGCGGAGGAAGCTCACGGGTGCCTGTAGTTTGGACTGCATTGCCAAGAAAAGCTGTCTCCGAGTATACCTGATCCAGGGGGGTGCCCCTCCCTCTAAAATGTTCACTTTTTCTGGAGCCTCCTCTCCCTTCAGCCATCTATGACCTTTTGTCATGCCTCCCGTCCCACCCCCTCCCAAACAAAATCCTGGCTATGTGCCTGCCTACTACTGTGGTATCCCAATCTTACGATGTGATGTTTCCCACAGGTTTAACTCCAACCCGACCTCTGCAGCTGCATGGCAATGGAGCCCAATGTTTGGCTTAGATAGATAACATTTGCAATTTGTTACATTACCTTTGGGAACCTACAAGAATGCAAGACCGTCCACATTAGTCTCTCCCTTATCTCTCCCAGGTCCAAGTGGCATGCCAGCCCTCCAGGACTGCGACCACTCGCGCTCCCCTTCTCCAGAGACCGACCGGTCACGGGATGAAGAAATGCATGCGGCGGCAGGTCTGTTTGTTGCTACTGCACGTTCCTTACCCCATTTTGACAAGGGATCTCTGCTTCTCTTGTCCTGCACGAGGCATTGAGACTGTGCTGCACGGGGCATGGAGGCTGCGCTGCAGCTTTTACATCTGGGGTGTCAGAGAGCGCCATTGGTACGTTCGTTATCTCTCCCAGGTCCAAGTGGCGTGCCAGCCCTCCAGGACTGCGACCACTCGCACTCCCTTTCTCCAGAGACCGACTGGTCACGGGATGAAGAAAGGCATGCGGCGGCAGGTCTGTTTGTTGCCAGGGCTGGGCAGGGATACCCCAAAAAAGTATTCGGGAATACAAATACTGAGATAAATGTGTTTTAAGGCCAAAACACAGATACTGAGATACATTTGTCTTTATGCAACGGGATATTCCTGAGATACTTCAGCAATAACGGCGGAAAGGCATTCCAGAATACAGATACAGATACTCATAGAAATACATTTGTTCTTGAACGGTGCTACGTGGAGAGGGTGCAGTTCGTGGCGAACGCGAAAGGTAATTTATGCTTACGCTCTTCTTTTTGTGCCATTTTATGCACTGCCCACTACCTCGAACTCCTTGACTAGCATTTATTTCGTTAAAAAAATGTCACCCCTGTTGAGCCACATAGTTACAGAACGGTAAAGACTGCATACCATGCTTGACGAAAGGCGTCCGTCTGCCTGAAATGAGCCCTGTTTTGCCGTGAGGGCACATCTCAAACTGTCACATTATAAGCTTCTGAGTCACCCATAGTGTGAAGAGATTGGACAACAGGGCCATACTTTTTCTCCACTCAACTGCTGTACAGCGTTCGCTCTGCTAAATTGGAAAGAGTGGAGGGCTTTGTGAGTGGAGCTGATTTTGTTATTCTTGCAAATAACCTTCTTTAAACCACAATTTTTTTTTTTATTGTTGGTGACTGAGATGCGTCATGTTATAGGGCAGGTTCATATTATAAATTCCAAAGCAAGTTGTACCAAACAGATGTTCTTATCCTTTAAATTAAAAAGGGAAACAAATGTAGCAAGATGCCTAAGTCACGCAAAGTATCGCGATTCAAGCGATACATTGTAAATGTATTTCCCTACTGAGATACAAATATATTTTACAAATGTATCTCGATACAGATACTCGAAAGTATCTCTAAGATACTATCGCAATACATTTGTATCGCGATACTGCCTAGCCCTGTTTGTTGCTACTGCACGTCCCTTACCCCATTTTGACAGTGATATCTGCTTCTCTTGTGCCGCATGAGGCATTGAGACTGTGCTGCAGCTTTTACATCTGAAGTGTCTGAGAGCACCATTGGTACGTCCGTTATCTCTCCCAGGTCCAAGTGGTGTGCCAGCCCTCCAGGACTGCGACCACTCGCACTCCCTTTCTCCAGAGACCGACTGGTCACAGGATGAAGAAAGGCACGCAGCAGCAGGTCTGTTTGCTGCTATTGCATGTCCCTCACCCCATTTTGACAAGTGTGTTCGGCTTTCTATGTGCTCCATGAAGCATCCAGTGTGTGCTGCTACCATGGTGTAAGGTATACTCTTTAGGTGAAGACACATTGCAACTAAACGCATGGTGTGAGCAATCTAGCAACGTTCCGTCTACAGATTTCAAGAGGCCGTGTCATCCTGCGGCCACCGGGCCCCCAGCTGACAGAGCGATCGGCTGGCCTGAGAGTGAAACTGTGATAAAAATAAACATGGGAGACGATTTCTCAGTGGGCTTAATGCCCACAAGTTAGCACTCGAAACCAGACGAGGGGCGATTTGTATCAGCACACGTTGATGAGTGCGCTGTCCACACCTGAAGAATATTTTTGCACTATGGCCACAGCTTCTCATTATGTTTTGTTTCTACAATTGCATTACAGTGCGTAACTGCAGAACTGCTCATGAGGATGTCATAACTGAGGTAGTCAACAGCTCAAAGGAGTTGTGAAACAAATATTGAACTTTTTTTAATGTGCAGATTTCGAGTCTTGAGGCGTTACTCTGTGACCCCTGAATATTTTTTTCGTTCTCGGGAGCAGTTTTCTAGTGCAAAACATAAAAAAATTCCGTGCGTAGCCTCTGCAGTTCCTGCTCTCTCAACTCGAAGGGTATGTCACGAACACCCAGCCCTTAAAGGGCCAGTGCAATAATTTTAAGGTTGAAATAATTGTCGGTTTGCATTTTTTATATTGTTCATACAAGACTAATTGACCAAAAACGCGTCACCTTTCCCCAAAAAACGGCTATTCTGCTGTGTAATCGCAAAGCAAAAACCAAATTATTTGCCGATCTGCAACCGCCTGTCGGGGTTATGGAAACTAAAATGACACCGTCTCTGGGGGTACGCGGAAGTCAACAAAACCTGTCCCCCTCCTCTGCTACGCTCGCCGCGACCTTCGATGTGGCTAAGCCTTTAAAACTCGACGATCGCCAGGAAGCGACTGGTCTCTGAAGAGAGAACCCAAGGGGAAACTATGTGAACCCCCAGAGTATGTCACCCGAAAGTCGACGTGGAAAGTGGAGAGGCACTTTGACCTTCGATTTGTTTCATTTTTTTTTTTTTTTTTAATTAGAACTAGCGCTTGCAAGAAAATACGGTTTTCTGCTTTTCGTTCCATAGGTGACGCAGATTAATTTCTGCAGTTAATTGGCCAAAGTCTGAAAATTGTTGCACAGCCCCTTTAAGAAGTTCCGTGGTTGAAAGCAAGAAGACACAAAAGAGTCGTAGAGCAGGTGTTCTACCGTCATTTTTTTTTCTGCCCATTGCCTTTAGTTTTAAAGCATTATTCAATCATTGTAAGGTGTTTGAAACATATATACAGTTTTCAGCTGCACCAAATTCATAAATAACGAGAAAAAGGTGAAATTAGGTAATCTGTTAGTTAATTAACTTAAACGTTCGAATTAACTTTTTAATTTTCACTTGAGGGCACATAACATAATTGGAGAGTTTGGAACTTGGAGCTCAACATAGTCCAGCCGTGCCGTCAAATTGTGACTAATTGTGAGCGTGAGAAATGTTATTCTGGTGTATGGTGTGAAACTGAAGCTAAATGGCTTACCCAACACAAAAAAGGTCCACTCCCCACGTCCATAAAAAAAAAAATTAAACTGAATATGCTTTATTTTGCCCATTTCCACCTGCGTTCCGCATTTTAACGCAAAGAGATTCCTCAGTTTTTGTGTGCGTCCTTGGGGCTGCTCGTGGGATGCAAAGACCAGACACAGCCAGTCACCTTTACTTCATACCCGGCCCACTTTTTTTTTGATAGATGCGAGGGGCAGACCTGTTTGACGCATGTGTGTGAACAGCCCTTAAAGGCCGACGTACACTTTGCGCTTTCCACTTTCTACCGCCTCCCCCTTTCCTATATCCTCTCCACTTTTTACCTTGGCCCAACTTGGCTCCCCTCGCAGCTTAGGAGAGGGGAGCACTAAGAGGACTGTCTTCCCTGCAGAAAGCCGAGGTTGTACGTCGGCCGTTAAGCGGGGAGGAGTGCTGGTGTATGTTTGCATGCCCAGAGGGGTGAAGCGATGACGTCACCGGTGCTTTTCCCCGCTTAGTTTTGGTGGCCTTGAGGCAAAGCGTCAGCCCACGGATCCCCGGTCGGCAGGTTCAAATCCCGGCCGAGGTGCCCACAACATGACAGGCTTACTGGAGAAAGACGCCGTGTAACTCAGATTTGGGTTACATGTCGAGAGATTCCCAGGTGGTCTAAATTAATCCTCAGTCCTCCACTGGGGTGTGCCAGATGCCCATTGTTTGTTTGGCACGTAAACCCTCAAATTTACATTTTCCCTGCTTTGTTCCAGTTTTATGCCGTGCACCATTGTGACATATCTGCACTGTATGAATTTGTTATTCAACATTTGACAACATGTCTGGACCATACTGCAGTTGAGCCTTAAATCTCCAAATACATTATGCACCCTCAAATGAAAAATGAGATTAATTAAAACTTTGTAGCTATTTCGCTTGCTAATCACCTCGTTCCGCCTTCTTTCTCGGAGGCCGCCATGGCCTTTTTGAAAACTATTGAGCTAAAAAAAATACCCTGCATAATAATGCAATAGGCGAGAAGTTCTATTTTGAACCGGAGGATGGTGGTCGGCACTGAGAGCAGGCTCACATACTCTAAAACGTGTTCCTTCCCCGCCATCGCTTGGCCATGCAAATTAATTTTCTCCGCCTTGTTCTCGTTGAAAAAAACAACAAAAAAGTATAAATCAGACACATACATACCGCATCAAGGATGCGACAATACACAAGCGAGGTTCAGCATTTTCCTTTGTTTCCATGGTCATCCCTACAGCTTTGCAGAAGTTGTCAGGAAACGCAGCTTACAGCGTGAACATGCTCACGTGCGGCTTGGACTAGTTGCAGAAAATGAAGTTAATTCATTCACACATTTCGACGTTGGCAACTCTGTTTGCATGAGAAGCGATCCTTTAAGACCTCCTTATTTGCGGCCGACAAAAGCCCATTGCAGCGCAATGTGGAACATAGCCAATAGTATGGCTCGCATGCCGTGTCACTACAGCAGCACCAGGCGGCATCGTCTGTAGTCAACTACGACTATTTGAATTTGAGAAGAACATATTTGAATAATTATTATATATTAATGAATAGACGATAACTCCATTGGGTGCCTCTTGCACACTCAGAAACGGTTACAGACTGTCATCTGTGTTTCATTTGGGTAGGAATGCCTTGCGTAATGTGCGTGTTTGGAACAGAAACTATGGCGAATAACTGTGAACTGTCTCTATAGCAACTGATTATGCAATGCCGCCACAATTTGAAGATGCGTATGTACTTAATGGTGGCTGTGTTTTATGTAAATACAGTGTAGACCGCATATAATGTATGTCGCGGGAGTCGCGAAAATCCGCACTATAAGCGGTACCGCGCTATAACCAAAACATCAATTTTTCAGGCCAAAATACACGCCATCAGACAACTTACCTTTGTAACAGAATTTATTTTATGTTAGATGGAAAATAAAGCTGAGTTTGAGGAGTCTTTATTTCACCAGACTAGTACACTTCTCTCTCAAGTGTGTCACATATTTTGAAAGAAATGAGCTTTTGTTTGCCTGGCGCAGCCTTTTAACGGCGTCGCGGGTTGCGGACGGATGTTGCGAGCGTTCAGGATTGCTAACCCTAATCACTTTTCTCCGGTGATGAAAACGCGTGAAAATTCGCATCCTTTATACGGTACGTGCCAGTAATACCTTCAACTTGAGCACAGGCATGAAATGCTCCAAATAAGAAATCCGGGCGATGTTCGAAAACACAAATGCTTAGAAAGCACCACTGTAGTCGAAGTAAACAAGCACGACGACACGGGCGTTTCTGCCGTCTTGAGAGTGCCGCCACGACATCGCCGCACGAGTAGGTGGATCTTCCCTTCTAGTATGTGCTGGGTTATCATAGCGACACACAACGAAAATTCACAATCAAGGATAGTGCTTTTACGCGGAACGATGAGCTTCCACCACGCCGTCTACGTTGACGACCACAACCGACGCCATGTTTGCGGATAGAAGAAGCCAGCCCGCGACCGGCATGCAACGCGCGAGAAGACTTCTCCTCGACCTGCGATTGGTCTGTCGTTGCGGTTGTTTCCAATGCAGCGGGGGAAAGTTGGGCTGGTTGGGGTTGGGCTCACACGTGAACGCACGCACGCACGTGAACGACACGTGCAAGCGTCCCTCCGTCGCTATGGCAACTGAAGCCTCTGTCTTCGCTTCTCCTTGCTTCTTCGAGCAACCTCCTTGCCCCGCGAGTGCCGCTTGCGGTTCGCGCCGTTATCTAGTGTCGCACAGGGAATCGTGCTCTCTGCGTCGGTCAGTCGGCGCGGTCGCCGGGCTGTTCCGAAAACCGCACTATAACCGGTATTTCCCTTCGCGCGCCTGCATTTTAAGCGTTATGTAATTACATGGAGTTCTATGGGAGGCGAACCGGTGGTTTGAAAAAACCGCGTTATATCCGGTCCTGCACTATAAGCTGTTACGTTGTAAGTGGTCTATACTGTAATCATTTAAACATACTGCAGATGGCTTCGAGTGGCTAGCATCTCGATTTATTTAAATTTTTGCAAATGCAATCATATCAAAATTGACTGCATGTTGAAATATTCCACTCACTGCTTATCCGGAGGGGGCGCGCGAGGCATGATTGTAATGGCCATCAACGCCACTTAGCCGTGCCGTCTAGTTGCAAACTTCTTCCAGTGCTATCACCTCCTCCTCGTGCTTCCCATTGGCGGCCGCTTTTCATCGTTTCTAATTCCCCGCGCAAGCTCTAAAACCTTCTTGCAACATCCTCTGACGGGGTCGTGTAGAAGGTTTAACAAAGAAGGGACTAGGCCGACCAACAGGTAGAGAGGAGGAAAACGCCCCTCAACTTCTCCTTTTCATCCAAAACAGGAGGAGAG